TAGAATTTACCTACTTAAAATTATCTGTTAGATTAAGGACCTGCTCGAAACGCTGCGCGTACTAGTGGCTTTACAAGATTGTAAATACTATGCTATGTATTCTCACAAACCCAATGTACCTTCTTGTATACAAATAAATAAATAAATAAAATAAATAAATAAATAAACTCAACCATAGACTCAACAGAACAAGAAAGCTATACAAAAAGCAGCCAAGTGACCGCAACAGGATCTTACTTTGTGAGGTCAAGGAACATGTGCATCGAGAGACCAGACTAATAAAAGAACAAAAGTGGCTAGAATGGTGTTCACACCTGAATGAACACACCTCTCTCGGAGAGATGTGGCAGCAAATTCACCGAGCCAAAGGGAATAAAACACCTAAAGCTCCACACCCCAAGGATCCTCAACAGGAAGCCGATGTACTGGCAACCAGGTTTGCAGAGAGAGCAGCCAGCAATCAACTTCCACCAGATGTATTAGCAGTACAGACCGGACTAGAGGAAGAAAGGTGGCACAGAATCCTTACAGCATGTGAAGAAGTCTCTGACACTAATGCCCCCTTCACACTGGATGAGCTCAATCGGGCTAAGAAAAACTCCAAGGATACATCCCCTGGAGCCGACAAAATAACCTATAAATGATTAGAAACCTCGGCCCAGAGGGAGACGCTGCATACCTAAGGTTAATTAATTTAGCCTGGACTTCTCAAACTAGACCTTCTGCTTGGAATAGAGCAGACATAGTGCCGATCCCAAAACCCAAAGATTAAACTAATCCCAGGCCCATCTCTCTCCAAAGCTGTGCAGCCAAGACGGCTGACAGAATGGCACTCAACAGACTGGAGTGGAAAATGCCTAAACTGCACCATGATATGTATGCCTATAGAAGAAGGGTTGGCACAGTGGAATGTATTACAACTCTGTTAGCCCACTTGAATGACAGACCAGGAATGCTGATATTCCTGGACCTCGAAAAAGCCTTTGAACTGGCTAGCGCCCCAGCTATTCTCTGCTGCCTCATTGACAAAGAGGTCAGAGGCAACCTGCTCTCCTGGACCAAAAACTGTCTCATAAACAGAGAAGCAAGAGTAAAACTTCATGGCACAGTCTCTGAGTACAAAAGACATGAAAATGGTACACCGCAAGGAGGTATTCTTAGCCCTCTTCTCTTCAACTGTTTAATGGAAAGAATAATGAGGTTGAAACTCCCACATCACTGCAGGCTGCTAAACTACGCGGACGACTTTGTCATCATCATAAAAGGAAGGGATGTGGCGCGCCTTGCACCCAAATGCTTAGACTGCATCAGTAAAGAGGCAAAACAGATTGGGATCAAACTCAACCCCTCAAAGTCAAAGGCCATGCCCATAAAAATAGCGAAGCCCAACATCCAACTCACAGTACAGGGTCAACCAATTGAATGGGTCGACACCTATCAGTATCTAGGAATCATCCTGGACACACACATGAATTTTAATGCTGAGGTCACTTACTTGAGAGAGCGAACTGCGGCCCGGACGGTAATCCTCAGGTCGCTAACCTCCCTTTCTGGAGGAGCCAATCTGCAAGTCCTTCGCACATACTATGTACAGGCAGTCAGATCAGTGATCGATTATGCCGCACCTGCACTCACAAATCTATCACACCAACAGTGGAAAAAGCTTGAAGTTGCCCAAAACAATGCTATGAGAGCCGCACTGGGAGCCCCCATGTGGACCAGGCTTGAAACTCTTAGACTGGAGACGGGTTTGACCTCTCTACAAGAAAGAATATCACAAAGGACAGCTACAATTGTCAGTAAGATAATTATTTCTTCTGATCCAATCCCAGTACGGCAGGCCTTGGTGGTTGGACTAGGCCAAAACAATGGAAACTCTTGGGCTGCAAGAGCAGGAAAAGTCCTAAACAGACTACATTTTAAAAGCATGATTCTTGATAGAGAGGGTGATCATCCACACCCAAATTACACTCCTTCCGCACCGTGGGAAGAGCCTACTTTCAAAATAGTAATAGAAAGTCTCCCAATGATCCGACAATCCTAAAGCGCATAATAGAAGAGCAAATGTATAGCATAGCAGTAGCAGGAGCCACCCACATCTTCACAGACGGATCGGTGGACACAGAATATGAGAGTGCTGGCGCTGCTCTTTGCACGGCCAGCGTACAGGCATATTGGAGACTGGGAGGACTAGTATCATCAACCCAAACTGAGCTGTTTGCCATACAACAGGCATTCGCATATGTGATTGCACAAAACACTCAAAATGCAATCATGCACAACATCACCAAAAAACTCTCACATCTCAACAAAGCCGACCTACACCAGAGAATAGCTGAAGGTTCGCCATCTGCAACATGGTATCTTCAGGCAACCAAATTAGAAAGGTTAAATATCCCAAAAGGAATCCACAGGGAAATAACAGTTAGGCTATATAGACTACGTCTAGGTTACAGATGCAATTGGGAGATTGGTGAACCCCGACAGAGAGAGTGCATCTTCTGCCAAACTGTCACAGAAAAGCCATTACTTCACTATCTTCTGGAATGTGAAGCAACCAAAGACCTTAGAAGAGCTTTAAGAGTTCCTGAATCATGCAGTGGCCACCTTGAAGCCATCAACACAGCCACTCTCCTGTTCAACAAAGGTGTCCAGCAGCTGGACACCCTCATAAAGACTGTGAAGCAGTATCCTCCCCCACGATAACAGCTTGATGGTTAAATGCAACCTCAGAACACTGGCAAAAAAAAAAAAAAAAAAAAAAAAAAAATTGTACCACTTACGGGCTATTCATGCCCGTGCCACCTCTTGGGTGGCTTAATCTTTATCAATCAATCACTGTAACATCACTTGAGAATGAACCATGAAGGTTCAAACGTTGTGCGATTTTATAATAAGCGTAATGCATTCTTCAGTTATTCAATTTTTTTTCTTCATCTTGAAAACGAACATGACTTCTGGTGAACTCCTCTTCCAGCTTAACCCTGATGAAGAGCACTAGTAAGAGGGATAGAAGCCCTAAATCAGAAAATTGTTAATACGGAATATGCTGTCACACATATTATATATATATATATATATATATATATATATATATATATATATATATATATATATATATATATATATATATATATATATATATAATATATATATAATATATATATATATTTGCCTAATAAGCCAAGTTTTCCTGAAATAATATATTTTCTCTAATTTTTTTCTTATGAAATGATAAAGCTACCCATTTCATTATGCATGAGGTCAATTTTGTTTTATTTTAGTTAAAATTAACGTAGATATATGACCGAACCTAACCAACCCTACCTAACCTATCTTTATAGGTTAGGTTAGGTTAGGTAGCCGAAAAAGTTAGGTTAGGTTAGGTTAGGTAGTCGAAAAACAATTAATTCATGAAAACTTGGCTTATTAGGCAAATCGGGCCTTGCATAGTAGGCTGAGAAGTGCGTTCTGGCTACTAGGTACGACATATATATATATATATATATATATATATATATATATATATATATATATATATATATATATATATATATGCAAACAAGCCTGAATGGTCCCCAGGACTATATACAACTGAAAACTCACACCCCAGAAGTGACTCGAACCCATACTGCCAGGAGCAACGCAACTGGTATGTACAGGGATGCCTTAATCCGCTTGACCATCACGACCGGACAAAAGGAAGTGATAGCCGAAGCTATTTGAACCACTTCCCCGCCGGCACTCGGATGGTAATCTTGGGCATAGCATTTTATCAAATCACCTCATTCTTTGGGGCACACGTGAGGAACACAAATGCAAACAAGCCTGAATGGTCCCAAGGACTATATACAACTGAAAACTCACACCCCAGAAGTGACTCGAACCCATACTGCCAGGAGCAACGCAACTGGTATGTACAGGGACGCCTTAATCCGCTTCACCATCACGACCGGACAAAAGGAAGTGATAGCTGAAGCTATTTGAACCACTTCCCCGCCGGCACTCGGATGGTAATCTTGGGCATAGCATTTTATCAAATCACCTCATTCTTTGGGGCACACGTGAGGAACACAAATGCAAACAAGCCTGAATGGTCCCCAGGACTATATACAACTGAAAACTCACACCCCAGAAGTGACTCGAACCCATACTGCCAGGAGCAACGCAACTGGTATGTACAGGGACGCCTTAATCTGCTTGACCATCACGACCGGACAAAAGGAAGTGATAGCCGAAGCTATTTGAACCACTTCCCCGCCGGCACTCGGATGGTAATCTTGGGCATAGCATTTTATCAAATCACCTCATTCTTTGGGGCACACGTGAGGAACACAAATGCAAACAAGCCTGAATGGTCCCCAGGACTATATACAACTGAAAACTCACACCCCAGAAGTGACTCGAACCCATACTGCCAGGAGCAACGCAACTGGTATGTACAGGGACGCCTTAATCCGCTTGACCATCACGACCGGACAAAAGGAAGTGATAGCCGAAGCTGTACGTCCCTGTACATACCAGGGACGTACATACAGGGACATATGTACGTCCCTGTACATACCAGTTGCGTTGCTCCTGGCAGTATGGGTTCGAGTCACTTCTGGGGTGTGAGGGGGTTTTTCAGTTTTCTTCTGGGGTTTTCAGTTGAATATAGTCCTGGGGACCAATCAGGCTTATTTGCATTTGTGTTCCTCACGTGTGCCCCAAAGAATGAGGTGATTTGATAAAATGCTATGCCCAAGATTACCATCCGAGTGCCGGCGGGGAAGTGGTTCAAATAGCTTCGGCTATCACTTCCTTTTGTCCGGTCGTGATGGTCAAGCGGATTAATATATATATATATATATATATATATATATATATATATATATATATATATATATATATATATATATATATATATATATATATATATATATATATATATATATATATATATATATATATATATATATATATATATATATATTTAATTATTTATATTAATATATATATATATATTTAATTATTTATATTAATTTATTATGAATGAAAATTTGTCTGCCAGTATATCATTCTGTCAGATTGCATCTCTATATGTCTGTAAGTGTTTTCGCATAACTTCACGCAATTTTATTAGTCAGGTATTGAACCTAAATTTTGATTATGTTGGATAGCTCCAGTTTTATTTGGATTGAGTTGCATAGCTTCACGCAAAGCCTTGGCCATCATTTCTCTGTAAAAATTCCAGTTTCTCTTCTGACGTCGTCTGCAACAAAAACAAAATATTTATTATTGTAAAATGTCTGATTTATTTTGTTTCTGTGGAGAGTAATGTAATGCCCATTGCAGGTACATGTTCTAGCAGGCAAATACTATTGTATTATAATTGTGTTGACCTAGTTAGGCAGTCCTGAGTATCATGCAACTCTTGAAGGTAGTCAGTGACACATTTTAAATAATCTAATGACGAGTGACAAAGTTGACAATTATGGGCTTCGTTCTTCTGATGTGTGTCAAGAGAAGGAGAGGTGCAACGGGTGCATGGGGGAACACTGTGTAAGATGAGCATGGGGGAACACTGTGTAAGATGAGCATGGGGGAACACTGTGTAAGGTGTGCATGGGGGAACACTGTGTAAGGTGTGCATGGGGGAACACTGTGTAAGATGAGCATGGGGGAACACTGTGTAAGGTGTGCATGGGGGAACACTGTGTAAGGTGTGCATGGGGGAACACTGTGTAAGGTGTGCATGGGGGAACACTGTGTAAGGTGTGCATGGGGGAACACTGTGTAAGGTGAGCATGGGGGAACACTGTAAGGTGTGCATGGGGGAACACTGTGTAAGGTGTGCCTGGGGGAACACTGTGTAAGGTGTGCATGGGGGAGCACTGTGTAACGTGTGCATGGGGGAACACTGTGTAAGATGAGCATGGGGGAACACTGTGTAAGATGAGCATGGGGGAACATTGTGTAAGATGAGCATGGGGGAACACTGTGTAAGGTGAGCATGGGGGAACACTGTGTAAGATGAGCATGGGGGAACACTGTGTAAGGTGAGCATGGGGGAACACTGTGTAAGGTGAGCATGGGGGAACACTGTGTAAGATGAGCATGGGGAACACTGTGCAAGGTGTGCATGGGGGAACACTGTGTAAGATGTGCGTGGGGAAACACTGTGTAAGGTGAGCATGGGGGAACACTGTGTAAGATGAGCATGGGGGAACACTGTGTAAGGTGAGCATGGGGGAACACTGTGTAAGGTGAGCATGGGGGAATACTGTGTAAGGTGAGCATGGGGGAACACTGTGTAAGGTGTGCATGGGGGAACACTGTGTAAGATGAGCATGGGGGAACACTGTGTAAGGTGTGCGTGGGGGAACTCTGTGAAAGATGTGCATGGGGGAACACTGTGTAAGGTGAGCATGGGGGAACACTGTGTAAGGTGAGCATGGGGGAACACTGTGTAAGATGAGCATGGGGAACACTGTGCAAGGTGTGCATGGGGGAACACTGTGTAAGGTGAGCATGGGGGAACACTGTGTAAGGTGTGCATGGGGGAACACTGTGTAAGGTGAGCATGGGGGAACACTGTGTAAGATGAGCATGGGGGAACACTGTGTAAGGTGAGCATGGGGGAACACTGTGTAAGGTGAGCATGGGGGAACACTGTGTAAGGTGAGCATGGGGGAACACTGTGTAAGGTGTGCATGGGGGAACACTGTGTAAGGTGAGCATGGGGGAACACTGTGTAAGATGAGCATGGGGGAACATTGTGTAAGATGAGCATGGGGGAACACTGTGTAAGGTGAGCATGGGGGAACACTGTGTAAGGTGAGCATGGGGGAACACTGTGTAAGGTGAGCATGGGGGAACACTGTGTAAGATGAGCATGGGGGAACACTGTGTAAGGTGAGCATGGGGGAACACTGTGTAAGGTGTGCATGGGGGAACACTGTGTAAGGTGAGCATGGGGGAACACTGTGTAAGGTGAGCATGGGGGAACACTGTGTAAGGTGAGCGGAGTGTTTAATGAATGTTCGGGGCTCTTAACACTGAGAAAAAAATTGTTGCAAAAGGTTTCGAAACTTTTAATTGAGAAAAAGTTTGTTACAAAATGTTCTGAAAGATTGACACTGAAAAGCTTTCTACAGAAAAAAATTAGTACTAAATGTTTTGACAGTTTTCTTACAGAAAAGTTTGTTGCAAAGAGTTCTAAAATACTTAGCAGGAAAAGCTTTGTAAAAGAAATAAGATTAATATACAAAGTTTCAAAAAGTTTCCTACAGAAAAGATTCTTACGAGAAACATTGCAAAGTTTGTTATAGATAAAAGTTTTGAAAGTTTTTGCAGAAGAAGTTTTTAAAAGTTTCTACAGAAAAGTTTGGTATAATTTTGTTTTTAAAGTTTGACAAAAATGATTAACAAAGAAATTTGTTACAACTTCATAAAAGTCATATAGAAAAGTTACCTAAGTATAGTTTGTTATTAAATACAGTTGAGAATTTTTGGTGTTGTTGCTTGAAGAACAGTAATGTTGGTGTTACAGAAGCAATACTAATAAGCTTGATCATGCATACAACACTGATAATAGTTACGATACACTGCACAAAGAATGTCTTCATATATGTTGTCTTAATAAATGCTGACTATTTTTGATTATCGAAAGTTGTTACAAACCGGTTATGTTTCGAGAAGACATTGTGTAAAGACGATGTCACAAAAATATTTTGCTGATTTTCTTACCACATAAAAGAGTAATGATAATATAGATATGATACAGAAAGAAGATTGATTTGCAAAGTTTGACTTTACATTAATGATTGTTACGTCGTAATAAATTTGTCAATTGAGACGAAAGTTTTGTCTCAAGATTTGTAAAAGCAAAAAGATTTTAGACTGCAAAGTCCTTAGTACAAGTTTCGGTTAGGTCGTATACCATTACTGATATCTGGTGGGTGTAATTTGAACTAAGGAGTGGCACCTATTATGTTGTTGTAAGTTGATGGATTGTCCCTTCCGGAAAACCCTCCAAATATTATTACGTGTGTTGTAGGTAGGGTTCGTACATCTCTACTGTACAACCAACCAAAACCCGTAGAGTACTTATACTTTCGGCCAGGAGATCACAATGTACGCTTCCTGCTCTTGAAGAGGAGCTCAGCGTCGCACATTAAGGGGGTGCGGCTCCAACACTGGCCTCGTTGTCACGTGCACACACCCAGTTCGAGCAGCTGTGACTCCCCCACTCTCTCCTTATTTGGTATGACCTCATCAATCCCCCTTTCTTCAAATTATAATTCTGTACCACCCTGTCCACAGCTGTGGTTCTTTCTCTCTCACTCTCTCTTTCTCTTTTACTTTCTGAGAAGCCTCACTCGGACAAGGACAAACACCTGCTGGTTATGAACATTTAATATACAGAGAACATGTACAACACAAAAGATACAGTAATGACTCCAACACTCTGCTATTATGGTCAGGTTGCATCCAATCCCATCGGGACTCTATCAGCTGCTTATATCAAGTGGTAGCCCAACTCCTGGCTTGCCACTTATGCTACCAACCTCACTTAGTACGTTAAATCTTGTAATACAATATGGCACTATCAGTCCAAGAACCTTTATAAATATACGCAAGGAAATCCAGCCTATGGCTATAATACTATAGACACCAGGATACACATTCCTCGATACCAAAAATAATCAGTCACTCACCTCCCACTGTGTCATACATGCCATGACACTCAAACATTCCATCAAATCCCTATAGGTAAACAATAAGAACCTCCTCTCCACACTTGGAGGTTCACTACCGTGAACGTCTTCAGGCTCCTCCACAATTATCTATCAGGGTCCTCTACAACTCTTCCTGGCTGCTACACTATGAAGTTTCCTCGAACAGTACTGGTGTTTCACCACTGTTATTACAGAAGCACATGACACTCTTCACCACTTCTCCTGACAGCTCGAGGACCTACTCTTCACTGTGGGGGCTACTCTTCCTCAGAGTACACTACACAACTCCTTCAACAACCTTGGAGTCTCTTCCACTAACTCACTCAACTGACTCGAAGTTCTCAGCAACTCTTTCCCCCCTGACAAACCTACAACCCATTGACACGCCAATAAAGATGTTCCTCTTCAAACATATAACTAAAATAAACTACACATAATAAATGTCTCCATCCGACATTTCCCTGCTTCTCACATACTGTGAGGTGACTCCCCCACATTTGGACGGATCCATCCTCCGCCCTGGGAGACTCCCCAAACGCCGGCTGCTCAGTATCCTCCATGTTCTCGATGGGAGAGGACGTGCAGCTCTGCACCTCAGCTAGTACTCTCGTCTCTCTTATTTAGGCTTTCTGCCTTATCAAAACATGCCTAACATATCAATAAACACTTGCTACGGCCGCTGGACACACGAGAAACTACAGACAACCACTGTTAACTGGTTAAAATGAGCTTACCACAGAATTCTGTCTGCTTGCGGTGCTCACTGACAGAGCTGTTGACACTCAGGGCACCCTTGGCTGCCCACAGAACTGCTTTAAATTGCTCCACACTCTTTCTGCAGTTAACGGTTTGAGCTGACACGCCCGCAAACTTAATCCACAAGCGAGACGTCGGTCCACATCCTTCTTCTTGAAGGTATAATAATCAGGGGTTCTTCCTCAGCAGGGGCTCAACGGAACACGACCTCCCCTCTCGATTTCTTCAACTCAAGTGAGGTCAACGTCCACAGAAGCGAGTCTCACATCTCCAGCAAATTCTCCACATCTCATGTCAAGTCATTTATTTATATTCTTACTTACTGCCCATACTTTTAAACTACTCGTCAAATTTAATAAAGTGTTTACTATGTATATTACCAGGTCTATATCTCCTTGACCTCTTAGTTAGGTCAAATCTTGCAGAATAACTCTCAGGGGCAGACTCGTTTCTCCTGTACCCTGAGATCATAACACTCCCCTCCCCTTATTTTGAGTTATTCCAGTGGCTAAGCTCGGGATAATGCATCAGCCACCATATCGTCTTGTTCTCCAACTGATTGTTTGGCCGGTTGATCTGTTTACATACTCTTCTTAATCTATAATTAATTTGTTGCATCTTGCAACATCTGGCTCACAACTCGCCAAACACATGGTCTTCTCTTAAGCGATCCGACTTCTTTCACACCTTGGCTAGGCTGTCCCCCTTGGACACCTGCATTCCATCAATCCACTTTACTTTCTGTTTTCCTCCACCGTTTCCTTCTTTTTTTCTG